ATCTTATTTTTAATAAGATCAATCTTATTTTTAATAAGATCAATCTTATTTATAAAGAATCCCATAAACTCATTTCTCTTTTTTCATACCTCTTTTTTTAATTTTACAGATTCAAAGAAATGTTCCCGGCCACTGTGTCACCCTTAGTCAAGGATTTCTTGATGTAACAATTTGTTGGGTTTGACCTTCATGATGAAAGTCATAACGGTCGAAACGTAAAAACAGCAAATCCAGCATTTTGATACTTTTTAGTATATCTGGGGAGGGAACTGTCTAAGAAATAACTTTGTGCATGCTTAATGGTTGATTTTGAGAGCGTTTTATGACATACTCACTTAATGCTATTGTGCATATTCTTACTGCGAATAAACACTTTTTAATGTTTACGTATCCAGTTAGTTTTGGTTTCAAATATTCATTATAAATCAACTGTTTTCACCTTATTCTTTGAAAAGAGTCACATGCAGCAAACAGTTAATAGGTTTGCAAGAGGAAGGCCTTTTGACATAAGAGTGTATTTGGGAGATTCTTTCATGAGATTAGAATAAAAAAGTAGGTAAAATGGTCTTGTGCATATGCAGCTATTCAGAAAGTGACTTGTTTTTTNTGTATTTGGGAGATTCTTTCATGAGATTAGAATAAAAAAGTAGGTAAAATGGTCTTGTGCATATGCAGCTATTCAGAAAGTGACTTGTTTTTTTATCTTCTTTTAAGGAAAAAACATCCACTATACCTTTAATCAATTATGGTTCTTGATAAAATTAACAGATACACACATGGAAATGGTTTAGTTATATAGATATAATTATGACATAGATCAGAGGTCTTCAACAGGGGGTCCGTGACCCCTAGGGGGTCCACAGAGGTACCGCATGGGGGTCACGAAAGTTTTGGTTGATTAAACTATTTATTATATTCCCCCCTTCAATTTTTTCCACTAATTGAAATGCCTTTAAATCCACATTAACATGAATTTAACACACTGTAGTAAACAGATAAATGGAGGCAGAAGATGTCTTTCAGTCATCAATGCCAGGGGCGGTTCTAGACCAAAAGTAGCAGGGGGCCAGCGTGTTTTCATGGAGTAACAGAAAAGCATGAACTAAATAAAAAGCAAGGTATATATTAAAAGAGCTGCATAAAGTAACATTTATATTCAATTAGGTTTAATTGAAATTCTATGTGTTAATATACATTCAGAATTTAGGAATTTTACATATTTTTGACTTAATTTAAGTTCGAATGACCTTTTTCTATAAAATCTGAATTAGAACTCAAGAAAAATGGATAAATTCAGCCGTAAAAATTAGAGCAATTTGTTTTGAAAAAAAAAAAAAAAAACATCTACCAGATGAAAACTGGGATCCTATCTCAACTGAAGCTATCACCTTATTGTTTTATAAATAATTAGTAAAACATAATTTGTAAAGTACTACGTCTTCAGTACAGGGACCAGGACATGATCTACAGGGACACTGGCCCCCGTTGGCCCTTGTCTAGAACCACCCATGATCAATGGACACACAGCTGGGCACTGTTTCATTCACAACACCTGTCCCATCAACCAGGAATCAGAAATACTTTAATAATCCCAGGGAGGGATTACTTTAGTTACATTACTCCATCTGTAATAGAGTGACTATAGGACCACATTATATATAATTAGGGGGTCCCTGCTCCGTCTCGTCATCAGTTTGGGGGTCCTTGGCCAGGAAATCGTTGAAGACCCCTGACATAGATAACTTGGAGTGACATATACCTTTACCTTTTACTCATAAAAAACTGACCACCTCTAACCGAGCCAAGTTTTATACCTATTTAATTGTTCATAAACCACTGCTGTCAAGATTCTTGAAGTTATTTCCTCCTTAAATCTTGTGAGTGTTTTACTTAAAGGGAAAAAGTAAATGGACAAAAAACAGTTGCTTGTAA